CAAGAATACCCACACTTGGAGATAATACCCACTTGATCAGGCTTCAATGGCTCAATGATCAGAGCTCAACTAGAAGAAGAAAGAAGAGGAAAAAAACAGTAATCTGATACAATTTGATGAACTTGACCTACACCTATGGATGCAGTAGCTCAAAAGAGGGAACAAATCTTTACAGTGAGGATCATTCCCACCCCCTTGATACATAGAGTAGACAGGGATGGGCAACTTGGACATTGGGTACCCAAAATGGAGTGTGGGGGTGGGGTGCACCACAAAGGCAAAAAGTGACTGGCTTACAAGCTTTCTAGAGGGAATCTAGATTCAGTGGGCGTGGAGGAAGGTAGAATCTCCACTGAGTAGTATTCAGTCTGTCTGGTGGGGCTGATGAAAGGAGATAGGGATAGGTCTCTCGTGATACAATTGCTATCTGGACTGACTGTGAGGGTTGGAAATGTAAAGGTCGATGTTTTGTAGCAAAAGGAGGGGAGTGGTTGACTTTGCAGTCGAGGAGCAGAGGTCGTTGGGACCATCAAGGGAGAAGAGTAGAGTGTGGGACCCTATCCAGAGAAGCAGTGACGCCAGAGATGGAGGCAGAGACAATGATGTGGAGGGATGGAGTGGCTGGGGACTCTAGACCCAGGGAGAGTCTGTGTGCTGATGATCGGGGGTGGGTTGGGGACAGGCTTTCAGGGTATACCCTTTGGTTGGTTGATGATACATGGAGGAGATAGTAACCATGGCAATGAAATGATATACAATAAGATTAATGTAAAGCTAATGTTCTCCCATGTAAACTATTACATAATTCACAATAAAACATTAAAAAACAAAAGAGTACCATGTGCAAAGGGCAAGGATGGCAGTGGATTCAGGGAATGAATAGTAAGTAGTTAGTTCTGCAGAGCCCTAGTGTGGCACAGTAAAATAAGCACTGGACTTATCCTAACACAAGATCAGAATTGACTCGATGGCAACAGGTTTGATTTGGGTTTTAGGTTTTGGTTGTAGAATTCTTGCCATCCACGTGGGGCACTTGGGCCCACTTTACTGCATATTAGTCTTTCTGTATGCACATTAACCATATATAGAAGCAACTTGTGTGTTTATTCTGTCGTCTTAAGGGTAGGTAGATGTTAGGATTGGTGTTTTGAGCTTTGAGGATTTTGTTCTAAGCTTAAAGACATTTATCCAACTGTTTATGACTTTTTAAAGTGAGTGTTCTAAGTGGAGGCCATGAATAAATACTCGAACAAGGGAAGATATATTGAGGCATATTGTCAATATGAATTGCTACTATATATCTTTCTTGGCTGTTTGTACAGCTTTAAGAAATGCCAGGCAAAAGCAGATAATATTTATAAGGAATTGAAAAAAATAGCTAAATGTATCTAAAAATATCTGTGAAAATTTATCTGGATTATATCTTTTTGAAGGAGACTTTAAGGTTTCTTCAGCAGCATTTCAAGTAATTCATTCTTTCTTAAATTATCTTTTGCCCACATCTTCAATTATTGATAGGTGATGCCTGTTTATTTAATGTGATCATGTTATAATACTGTTTTGATAAAAAATGGGGTGCTGGATTTATTGAATTTCTTTTAAGAAAAAAAAAGTTGAAATTAGTATATTTTTTAAAAACAGCCATATATTGTATTTTCCTCTAGCCAACTATATTTATTGTTGTTAAATGCTGTTGAATCAGTTCTTACTCATAGCGACCCTGTATAGATTTCCGACGAGTGGCTGATGGGTTTGAACCTCTGACTTTGTGGTTAGCAGTCCATTGCTTATCCTATAGAGCTATACCAGAACTTTAGTCAAATGCATGATTACAACTGAATTTATCTAACTCTTCTGCAAAAGAATGAATTGTACCTTCTTAATCCCACATAAGGCTGATTTGTTGGTTCCTAAGATTTCTTTTCACAAAGCTTAATTTTCTGACCATAATGTTAAGAATTCAAAGAGTTTTAGAGTCGGTTACATATATGCAAATTAAATTATATATCCATTTTCAAAATATACTTTTGCTCAATTTCAAGTGAAACCAATTGGAAATAGCAAATAGAACAAAGAGTTCATTTATCAATATTTATTCCTTTTACTTGTCATTGAAATTCTGTTGGGAGTTGAGTAAATATAAATGAACCATGAGTATATTTTAATTCAGAGAACTGTTCCAATGTTCTTAAGTCACAAAATTACATTACCTGATATCACAGCCCTAAAGCAAATGCTGGAGACCTGGTGTGACACTGTAGAATAATAAGCACTGGACTGCAGAACACAAGATTGGCAGTTCAAGCCCCATAGCTGCTCCTCAGAAACCCTCTACAGGAGTGCTGTGAGTCACAACAACAAAAACAAATGTTCACACATCTTGACCTGTGGGTGGAGTTGACATTATTGTTTGGTAATTGCTGTCATCCTGACAATTAATAATGGAAAACTTAGAAACAAAGGAGAATACTATGAGAGTAATCTGGAAGGTCTTACACTGTATGGTGTGGTCTAGTGTTTTGAAATGCAACTACCTTTTCTGTTACTATCTACTATCTCACCATCCAACAGTCCTTGAGTTGGCTCTTACAGGTAGATCTGTATTAATTCTGAGTAACTAACTAATGCTTTAACTTATTTTTTCCTTTATTTAGAAGTCTAAGCAGAAATGCCTGTATTAATACTCACGGGGTGTTTGTTCCCTTTTCTGCTGTCATGTATAAAGGCACATATTTGCTTATCTGCACACGTATATTTATAGTATGCCTGATTAATTTGTCTTTTCTCCACAAGAAGTTCTCGTAGTGTTATTTAATTCTGTAAACCATTATATTTGTACTTAGGAAATTATCCAGAAATCAAATATTGGGTAAAAACGACTTTTGCTGACTGAGCTTTTCCTTTGTGTTGATTGCTCCACATGGACAGATCTGGGCCTGTTTGCTTTATATACCTGGGTTTGTGGGTTTGCCTTCAGGAGTTCAGCTAAGGATTTTAGAGAGTGATATTTGGGCAAGAACTTGTGAATATTAAAGATGGATGTTATTCATTCTTTGTTAACAAACAAACAGAAGCTATTTTCCAGACATTAACAATTTAGAATTAGATAAGCTAGAAATGATTCATAAATCAAAGAAAGAATCAGTGCTACTGAGTGTTACTACTTTTTTTTTTTTAATATTTTATTGTGAATTATATGATAGTTTACATGAGAGAACTTTAGTTTTTCATTCATTCCATCGTGTATCATTTCATTGCCATGATTCCAATCCCTTCCATGCATCATCAACGGACCAAAGGGTATACCCTACAAATGCTGGAGACCTGGTATGACACTGTACCCTCCCCCCACCCCAAGTCTTCAGCCCACAGTCCCTCGCCCTCTCTGGATCCAAAGTCCCCAGCTGCTTCATCACTCCACGTCACCGTCTCTGCCTCTATCTCAGGCATCTCTACTTCTCTGGGTAGGGTCCCGCTCTCGGCTCTTCTCTGTTGATGGTCCTAGAGACCTCCGCTCCTAGACTGGAGAATTAATCACACCCTTCCTTGCTACAAAACATCTACCTTTGCATTTCCAACCCTCATAATCAGTCCTGATAACAATTATTCACTACAGTATCACAAGTGACCCATCTGTATTTCATTTCATCAGCCCCGCCTAGATTGAATACTACTCACTGGAGATTCTACCTTCCTCCAGGCCCCTTAGCTCTAGGTTCCCTCTTGAAAGCTTGTAAGCCAGTCACTTCTTGCCTTTGTAGTCCCGCACCCCCCCACCCCCCAACTTGGGTATCCAATGTCCACGTTGCCCATCTCTGTCTACTCTGTGTGTAGAGGGGGTGGGAATGCTTCTTGCTGTAAGGATTTGTTCCTTCTTTTGAGTCACTGCATCCATAGGTGTAGGGTCAAGTTCATCATATTGTATCAGATCACTCTTTTTTTGCCTCTTCTTTCTTCTCCTGGTTGAGCTCTGATCATCCAGTCATCCAGTCCAGGTCACGTGGGTACCATCTGCAAGTGTGGGCATTCTTGTGCACATGCCCTCTCTTCCCATCAGCCAGTAGCTCCACTCTCGGCTCGAGTCCTCCGTGGCCACGCCACTGACTCTGGGCCCAAGAGTCCCCAGGTCTCCTTACACTGCTTGCCAACCAGGTCCCAAACTGGGGCCACAAAAGCCCACCAAACATTGTAGGGCTTAGCTTTGAGTGGTACTACTTTTACTGTCTCCTATAGTCTTCTTGTTGGAATCCTGGTGTGGCACTGGAGGAGATTCAAACCCACCAGCACCATCTGAAATCCTCTACAGGGTTGTTATGAGTCGGATTTGACTCAGCAACACTTAACAGCAATAAGAATGTAGTAAACTTGTAAGGAGTTCTGGTGGTACTGCGGGTTGGGTGTTGGGCTGTTGACCACAGTCTTAGTGGTTCAAACTCACCAGCAGCTATGTAGGATAAAAGATTAGGCTGTCTGCTCCTGTAAAGATATACAGTCTCAGAAACCCTCTATCGAGGTTTCCTGTGAGTTGGAATCAATTCAGTAACAGTGGGTTTTGCGATATTCTTGTAAATGGTTTTCTAAAATAAATCTTAGTTAAAAGCTAAACTGCTGTATATTTTCAGCTTTGCAAACATGTTTATGTTCCTCTGTCAGAGTGTGTTTTTATTTTCATTGGTATTGTAATCCTTCTTAACCAGTAACGGTTTGGTTTATTTTTTAATAGAAACTCCCTATAATTTGGTTTGCTGAGTTTTCACTCTGGTGGACTGGCTGACCATTACCAGTATTGGTGTTCTCTTAAGTGTAGTGCTTGCAGATGGCACGACTGCCCTGGTGCATACCTGCTAAGGTTTCATGACCATGTTTGGGAAATGTCTTATCACTGTATTTGCTTACCAGGAAGGGAGATGTTTAGAAAGTTAGTATTTGTAAGTAACAATGTTTTACATAAAAATAAGGATCAATTGTGTGTGTGTGTTCTTTTTTTTTCCCCCTTTCAGATTTTGGGGTAAGTGCATTCTTAGCAACAGGGGGTGATGTTACCCGGAATAAAGTCAGAAAAACTTTTGTTGGCACCCCATGTTGGATGGCCCCCGAAGTCATGGAACAGGTAAAACTATATGATGTTTTGGTAGACACAGTCCAGTGGTCCATATCGTGAATGCATTAATATTTCATTGAAACCCATACTTTTAGTAAAATGCTTCCTGTGACTCTGATTTAACTCCTGCTTGCTAGGACTTAACAAGCTAGTATGCCATTTGTGAATACGTAACAGTGGGCTTTCCTCATGATATGGGCTTGATGTGATTCGTAGCATGCCTGCTGTATAACTGTGTGGTGTTTTTGTTTTTTTGTTTTTTTTTTTTTGGTTCCTGTCCTAGGTGAGAGGTTATGACTTCAAGGCAGACATGTGGAGCTTTGGAATAACTGCCATTGAATTAGCAACAGGAGCAGCGCCTTATCACAAGTACCCGCCCATGAAAGTAATTACTGTTGGGAAAAATACGTGTGGTTTGAAATATGACTTAAAGAAATCTGTTCCCGGATTCTCTTAAATATAGTCACTTTTCTCCTAAACCTGAGAAGAATGAATGGAGGGACACAGCCAAGTTAAATGTGATCCAATGTTTCTCTATGGATAGAATAGAATAAAGGTAGTCTGTTCCGCAGCTTTGAAGCTGATTTTGCATTGTTAGCTGAGAGCTGAGGAAAGAATGCGATGAGATTGTTAGATGGAATTAGATCGGGATGACAAATGCTGGCCATTACTCTTTTTGATAGCCGAACACTCCTCCCACTTCCTCAAAGAAAATCTAAAAATAGGCTATCGTGAGTGATGTCATCTTGGCAGAAGGATATCCCCAAATTTCAGGGTTTTCTTTCTTTCTTTTAAATGGTCTATAATATTTTAGCCCTGGTCTCTCGGTGTTCTATTGGTGACTTATTGATATAAGTGAATCACAGTGTTTTTAGTAAATACAATGCATTTTAGATTCTATTTTCAGGTTTTTGTTATTCTTTTAGCCAGTTTATGTCATTTGTTCTCCTAGTTCTGAGATGGGCCTGTATCACCCAACTGAATGTTGTTTTGAAGGTGAAATGGTGGAATTATGTGATATGGTGGAAATGATGAAGCTGTTTTATAGATAATATCATCTATAGTTGCTCCATTTTTGTACTAGGCAAATATGATAAAACTGTAGGAGGATTAAAAATAAACAACAGCAGTAAAAAAAAACAACCACAAAAAACCTGACACGAAAATTGTGAGGATAAAAAACTTAGTTTTATTGACTGGTCCTACTTACTTTTTATAGAAAATTTGAAAAGAGAAATACAAAAAAAGTGGAAAATAATTATCAGTAATATCATCAACCATTGACAATCCCTGTTAAGATTTCAGTGTAGTTAATTTCATTTTATATGTATTTCCATAGCCATCAAGTTGATTCCAATAAACCCTATATAGAGTTTTCTGAAGCTGTTCATGTTTATCAGAGCAAAAAGCCAATTCTTTCTTTAGTAGAGCAGCTGGTGGGTTTGAATATATGTTGTGTGTACACACACACACACACACACACACACATGTTGTTAAGTGCTGTAAAGTCAGTTCTTACTTATAGTGACCCTGTATAGGATTTCGGAGGAGCATCTGGTGAGTTTGAGCCACCGACCTGAGATTCAAACTGACCTTTGAGGTCCAGTGCATTATCCTACAGCGTCACACCCTATAAACTCAAGTTAGGCAGTTCAAACCCATCAGCTGCTCCTTGGAAATCCTCAACAGTGTGGTTATGAGTCAGAACCAACTCAACAATACTTAACAACAAGTGTGGCACTGTAAGATAAGCACTGGACTGTTAATTACAAGATTAATGGTTCAAACCCACCACCAACTCCTCAGAAAACCCTATGAGTCAGCACTACCTGGCCAGCACATCACAACAACAGCTATATATATGTACATAAGTACTGACCTCTATCTTAACAGCACCACACCAGGACTCAAAGGTTGGTTAGAATAGTTCAGATTTTATTCTATCAATCATCCATCTATTTATCCATCTCGCCCAGAGTTTGTTAGTTTAAAGGTTGAAGTTGAGGTGCAAACAATTGAAATGACCTTTCAGAAAAATAGCACGGAAGCAACTCTTAGGACTTTTTCTTCCAATTTTTCTTGATTTTTGTTCGTGTTCCTTGCTTTCTTTCCTTCCTCACTTTTCAGTGTTTCCCACCTGAATCCGATCATACCAGCGAATCCATCCTGAAGCTCCTCAGGGCTTTCCTTTTGAGTCCACAGCTCTCCCACTCTCTTCTGTTTGCTATTATCCTCCACAAACAATAAGATGCCACTGTAATCTTTCATCTGTTCACACACATGAAAGTACTTGAAAACAGTCTTGGCATGCGTAGTATTTGCATAAATCAGGACTGATTTTTGCATTAATGAAAGTTACTTATTCCACAGGTCATTAGTTTGCTACAAACTCTGTCCTTGTCTTATGCAGATAGTTTTAATGTTGATGTGAAAGACTGAAATTTCTTCCTTTTTGATTTGAAATTGCATCTTGATTTTCTTTTGCCCTTCTATAGAAGAAACACGGCCTTTCAATCTGATTGTGATATTTTAGATGTCATTCACTGTTTTCTGCCTCAATTTAGCCAATTCTTTTGACAGTGTTCTGTATTTTTTTAAATTTACAAATTAAAAAAATCCAAGATGAAAGAGAAAGAGAGAAGGAAATTGTGATCTCTCCTGGGATGTTGTAGATTTATTTTTAGGTTGATAGTGAGTGACAGACAGACCCTTTGAGTACAAGTGGTTCCTTACTTATGAATGACTGCAGACATGCACATTCACTTCTGCTCTGACCCTCGTTCCTGACCAGAGTACCAGCATTCATTACATGGGGTCTGGAGCTACGTGCTCCTTAAGGCAGTATGAGAGCCAGTTCCAGGAAGCTCTGTCCCAGCCCCTTGGGAGATTCATTCTTACCACATAGAACAGATTTTTAAAGTCCTGTTCAATGGAATAATAATAATAAAAAGGAAAAATGTTTAGAGGTATATGAACAGATTTGCAAAGGGGAATGAATACCGTCAGTACACAATTTCTGGAGAATTAAAAACATGGGGAGGAAAGTTTGTATGTAACCAAAGATGTGCTTTGATAGTTTTGTAAAAAAAAAAAAAAACAAGAAAAGAGAAAGATTAAAAATGTCGACTGTGGAAGTTGCCATACTCAGATTCTGCCTTCATGTTTGTTTTTGCTGCAGGTGTTAATGTTGACTTTGCAGAATGATCCACCCACTTTGGAAACAGGAATAGAGGATAAGGAAATGATGAAAAAATACGGCAAGTCCTTTAGAAAATTACTTTCACTCTGTCTTCAGAAAGATCCTTCCAAAAGGTATGTTGAACTCAGTGGATGAGCAAATGACCTGGTTTGAATCATGACAAAGCTTTGTTTGTGGATGGAGAAAGGCTATGTGAGGACATCCAAAACGTACATCTAGTCTCAAGGGAAACCTTGCTCTGGCCCCCAGATTCCAACCAGAGTGAGCGGAGGGCTATGGGGAGGCAGTGGAACATCTCTGGTGTTAATAGGATTCACTGCACTTGCTAGGTGTGGGCTCTACCACCAAAGGAAATGAAGCAAAACAGAAACCCAAAGAAATTGGCTGTGTTACATTAAGAAACTGAGCTAATACTCTGCTCTGTGTAGGTTGAATTGACCTCTCAGGATTTGAATATCCTGCTAGCTCCAGTCTAAACTATGCAGAGCTATTGAATTTTGCATGAGCTTCCTTTTAGTTGCAGAACAAGTTGTTTGTACTGTTTAAAAGATGATCAGTAAAGAAGATTAAGGATATTTTTACCTTAGGAAGATTAATCATATAAACAGCAGCAAAGGGCTTTAAATTAACTTTAGTGGTTTCTGTTTATTCTTGGGTTATGGCTCTACGTGGTGGTGTATGTATTTTTTCTGAGGTTGTTTCTCTCCTTAGTTTCTATGACTTTGAAATACCCTGGGTAATGATAATATTGTGCAAGGCTCTTTATCACTTAAAGGGGAATGTTAATGATAAGAACCATACATTGCCTAGATAGTAACCTCTGTTGGGCTTGGCTATGTGTGATACCCTTCTAACTTGCTAAGAATAGAGACATGCATACCAGGGGAGGCCCCTGGGAAGTTACTATCCACCCTGATCTATTCAAGGATCCAATTTGATACTTACATTTTAAAGCTTAATAACTGACTTTTCTTCTGAAACTTTCTTTTTCCAGGGAAGGACTCTACTTTTAAAAGATATCCCTTTCATCTGAAATTCTCTGTGAAACTAGCTAAGCGTCTCCCTTTGCACAGTTATCTGCTATTTGAGTAGACTACACTTGTCTGTAGTAAACACAATTTCCACTATTCACTCATTCTTTTGAATTTTTCTGAAATTACGTTATTGTTGCTATTAAGCAACAGTTTTAACAATTGATAATCTTTATTTATTATACAAGGGATGATTACTTTGTTATACACATAGATGATTTCTGCTTAAACATCTCATTTGTTTATAATGGATGTGTAGGACTTGTTTTCCCTTCAAAATTATGTTGAGCTCTCATTGTGGTTATTTTTTTAACTCTCCTGTTTGGGTGAAAGCAGAAACTGATGGTGCAGTGGGTTAAGTGCTGGCCTGTTGACCAAAAGGTTTGCAGTTCAAACCCACCTGTTGCTCTATACGAGAAAGATGAAGCAGTCTGCTTCTGTAAAGATTTACAGCCTTGGAAATCCTGTACAGGGTCGCTATAAGTCGGAACCGACTCCACAGCACACAGACACACTCTGTTCTGTGGGGTCGCAATGACTTAGAATAGAGTTGCTGACAGTGGGTTTACTTACTGGGTGAAGATACTCTTAGATTCAGATTTTATCTCAATCTCTGCTTGCCTTCCCCCTTACATTTGGTGTTATCACTAAATGTAAAATTTTGATATCTTAAAGAAAACAGAATTTGATTCTCCATATGCTAATGGTCCTCTATAGAGTTTCCAAGATGGTAAATCTTTATGGGAGTGTAGACAGTCTTTATGGGAGTAGACAGTCTTGTCCTTCTACCAAGGAGCAACTAGTGAGTTTGAACTGACAAACTCATGTTATATGTGTGCCTAACCCACAGTGACACCAGTATTCTCTCCCATAGGGCTGTAATGAGTCAGTCTTGCCTAGACAAAAGTGGAATTGGTTCAGTTTAATCAATGAAATGAGTTCACAAAGCAAACTAAACTCACTACTATCAATTTAATTCTGTTTTGTAGCAGCCCTATGTAGAGTTTTTGAGGCTGTAAATGTTTACATGGGCATCCAGCTTCATCTTTCTCCTGTGGAGCGGCTGGTGGGTTTTGAACTGCCAACCTTGCTGTTAGCAACCCAGGGTTAACCAGCAGTGCCATCATCGGCTTATAACTGATTCTTTATAATGGGTTACATACTGGGCTGATGACTGAATGGTCAGTGATTCAAACCCACCAACCTGATCAGCAGGAGAAAGATGAGGCTGTCCGCTCCTGTAAAGCTTTCGCCTTGGAGACCCCAGGGAGTAGTTCTTCTCTGTCCTGTAGGGTTGCTATGAGTCCGAATTGACTCCCTGGATTTTTAGTGATTCTGGAACTAGTTGAGGTCCCACCTAGTGGTTGGGATATGCAAAGTCACAGCATTCCAACTTTATAAGAAAATTGTTCTGTAGGGCAGAACTGTTAGTATACTTACTGATATAACAATGTATTTCTTTAGGAGATTTGTAATCTGGTGAAGAAATTAGATTGAAACCTATTATTATTCAACAAATCATATTTATTTCCCATTAATTTTATAAGTCTTTCCAGATTTTCTTTATTATGTGAGTTGAAACATAAAGTTTCCCCTGAGCTCTCCTCCCAAATCCTTTAGAAAAGAGCTGTCCATCATGTATTTGAATCTGTGCTAAATCTCTTTCAGTACACTCCCTTGGTTGTGGTGGTGGTAATGTGCCGTGGAGTCGGTTCCGACTCATAGCGACCCTGTATAGGGTTTCCAAGGCTGGTAGTGTAGTGGCTACGAATCGGGCTGTGAACCGCAAGGTCAGCAGTTCAAAACTACCAGCTGCTCCGCGGGAGAAAGATGAGGCGTTCTGCTCCCGTAAAGATTAACAGCCTTGGAAATCCTGTGCAGGGTCGCTATGAGTTGGAACCGACTCCACGGCACATAACAACAACAACAACAAATCTTTATGGGAGCAGAAAGCCTCATCTTTCTCCCATATATCCACTGGTAGTTTCAAATTGTTGACCATGAGATTAGCAGCCTGATTTACAACTACTGAGCTACCAGAGCTCCTTCGTACATTCTCTGAGTAATACTGTTTTCATTTATGAAGTATTAGTAGGGTAAAGATTTATTTTAGACATTTTGTCTATAACCAAGTATGTTTCACTGTTATGTATTTGTTCTTCATATCAGATAATTATAGCATAGTGGTTAATGGTCAGGCTACTAGCTTCAAGGTCAACAGTTCAAAACTACTAGCCATTCCATGGGAGAGAGATGAGGCTTTCTGCTCCCATAGATATTTATAGCCTTGGAAATCCTTTGCAGGGTTGCTGTGAGTCGGAACTGACTCCATGATACACCACCACCACCAATGATGCAGAGAGTCCTGGTGTGATACTGTAGGATAAGCATAGGACTGCTAAACCTAAAGCCTTTCCTTCAAAGCCCTAAACAGGGTCACTTTGAGTTGAAACTGACTCGACAATACTTGACTTGTTAGTGATGTAAAAACTTCATTAAAAGAAAAATATGCATAGATATTGAGTATATACGTGAGGAATTTGCAAACAAAAGATTTATGAAATGTGACAATGAAAAAAGTACTATTGTTAAATTATGCATTATATAAGATGTGACTCTAGAAAATGAGTTTATTGTTGTTAAGAAGTTCCTTTGAGTCTGTTCTGACTCATAATGGCCCTGTGAAGGGTTTCTGAGGCTTTTAAAATCTTTGAGGGAGCAGAAAATCTCATCTTTCTCCCATGGAGCAGCTGGCGGGCTTGAACCATGGACCTTGTGGTTCGCAGTCCAGTGCTAATTACTAAATTAATTACTGAGTTAATGGGAGGTGCAAATGGATAAATCCTTGACTACTAACCATAAAGATTGGCAATTTAAATCCATCCTGAGGAGCCTTGAAAGAAAGCCCTGGCAATGGGCTTCCAAAGGCCAGAGTCCTGAAAACCCTGTAGAGTACAGTTCTTCTGTTTCTACATGGTTCTTTCTGAGTTAGTATCAACTTGACGGCAACTGATTTAGGTTTCTTCCTCTTTTTTCAGTAAGTAGGTAGTAATTTCTGTACAATTCCTAATGAAACCATGCATATTTTTACTGCTTTCTGCCTTTGCTTAGTTTACTCAAGGGTTCTTTTTTCTTTGTCTCAATTTTGACCTTTCTTTCAATACTTAGTTTAAATATGACGACTTCTTTGAACTAGATACCTAGTTCTATCCTTGTCTGCATGACTCAGTTTCTTCCTCTGCAAAATGGGGCTAATAATACCTACTTTATGAGATTACTGTTAGGATGGAATGGGGAAAGGAAGGTACAGCAGAGAGCTGAAGATGTTTTTGGCAATGAATAAAGAAATATCCTAGAGGAATAGGAATCAGGATAAATTCATTCCTGTGCAGTAACTCACAGGCTAACGCAGAAGGGACTGTGACTTCAGTCATGTACCTTTGAGAGCTCCTGGATCTTTAGTAAAATACATTTGGGATGTTTGAGACGTTTGCCTTATGCAAATGTGTTTTATACATTGGCATAATCAAAAAGTTGCTTCTGTTTGCGTAGCAGACCATTTTGTTTCTATTGTTAGGTGCTGTCATGCCATTTCTGACTCTTAGCACAACAGAACAAAACACTATCTGGCCCAGTGCCATCCTCACAGTTGTTGTTTTGAGTCCATTGTTGCAATCACCGTGTCAGTCCATCTCGTCGTATGCCTTTCACTTTTTTGCTGACCCTCCACCTTACCAAGCATGATGTCTTTCTTTAGGGACTGTTAACTGGTGCCTCCTGACAACATGTCCAAAGTACGAGAGACAAAGTCTCACCATCTTTCCTTCTAAGGAACATTCTGGCTGTACTTCTTCCACGGCAGATTTGTTTGTTCTTATGGCCATTCATGGTACTTTTAATATTTTTCTCCAGCACTGTAACTCAAATGCATTGATTCTCCTAAGAGCTTCCTTATTCATCGTCCAACTTTCACATCGGTATGAGGTGATTGAAAAGACCATGGCTTGGGTCAAGCGCACCTTAATTCTCAAGCTGTTCTCTAACAGCTTTAATGTCTTCTGCAGCATGTTTGCCTAATGCAATATGTCTGTCATTCAATTTCATGACTGCTGCTTCCAGGAGTGGTAATTGTACATCCAAGCAAAATGAAACCTTTGACGACTTCAGTCTTTTCTCCATTTATCCTGATGCCATTTATTGGTGCAGTGGTGAGGCTTTTAATTTTCTTTACATTGAGTTGCAATTCATTCTGAAGGCTGTAGACTTTTAATATTCATCAGTAAGTATTTCAAGTTTTCTTCACTTCCAGCAAGCAAGGCTGTATTATCTGCATATCATAGGTTGTTAATGAGTCTCCCACCAATCCTAATGCTTCATTCTTCTTCACAGAATCCAGCTTCCTGGATTATTTGCTCAGCATGCAGATTGAATAAGTATGGTGAAAGAATGCAACCCTGGCATATGCCTTTACTTATCTTAAATCATGCAGTAACCCCTTGTTCTGGTCTGACAACGAATTCATGGTCTATGTACAAGTTCCCTAATGAGCACAATTAAGTCTTCTGGAATACCCATGCTTCGCAATGTTATCCATAGTTTGTTATGGTCCACACAGTTGAATGCCTTTGCATAGTCAATAAAGTATAAGTGAACATCTTTCTTGTATTCTCTGCTTTCAGTTAAGACCCATCTGACATAGATGACCATCTTATTCTTAGAGAAACAGAAAAAACAAAACCATCCTGGGTCTCATGAATTACGTGCTCTGTATGGACGGCAGCTATTAAGAGAAGCAGCATTTTCTTTGAGAAACAAGGAAAGGTGGCTGTTGCATAGCTAAATCCCAAGAAATGCATGAGACTTCAGTAGTGTGTCTTTTGGCCAGGAGCAGGGAGTGAGAAAAGCTGAGTTGCCTGAGGTCAATGAGCTGATAGAATTTAGTAATGCATATTGTTTGGTCTATATGAACCGTGTCATATTCATTCCCGCATCCTTTGAGAATTATTCTAAATCTCAGTGGGCATTGGTTCTTCTATATGTGTTAACTGAATCCCCTAAGAGATTGTCTTCTGAGAATGTTGGTACTTGCATACCACTACATTGTTTTAAGAGTGTTTTAAATTGAATCATCAATATCTGGACCTTTATTTTGGTTCCTGGTAGCATTTTAGCATTTCTCATAAAACAGTGTTTGTATTTCTCATATACTGAATTGTTCTACAGTTGTTAGTGGCTGTATAAGAGATGACTGTGCTTACAAACTTCTTTCTCCTGTAGTACTCAGCCAGGAGACAGACAGCACTGATAACGCCACAGTAACTGGCTGTAGATGGGTAGTTACACACATACACAAAAACCTAAAATCCAACTGGCAGCATGTACCTCAACTTCTCCCATACCTTCTGTCACTCTCTTCCCTCCCTCCTTTGCCACATTTCTTCCAGTTCCAGTTTTCCCCCATAATAATGTACATAGTTTGGACTCTTAGTGTGATGCTATAGGATAAGCACTGGACTGCGAACCACTAGGCCGGTGGTTCACACCCACCAGTAGCTCCTTGGAAACCATGTCCAGGGTTGCTGTGGGTTGGTACTGACTCAATGGCAGTTAACAACGACAGTGTGCACAGCTTGGCTCATGTAGAGAGCCTATTCCAAAGCTATGGTCAGTTGAGCTTGTTTGAGGACAAAAAGGAACCAGTGATCTGCTAGTTACTTATTCTCTGTAAAGGATAGGAGCTGACTATTTTAAGTATATGGAAATAAAGAATGGGGCGTCTTTAAACTATTTCTCATTTCTCCTGTCGTCATGTTTTCATATTTGTTGAGGAAGGCCAAGTGTGGCGTGCAGAGAAAGAAGTTCTCTGATGCACGCTGTTCCCTTTACATTTTTGGTTACCATAGAAATGACCTTGCTGGGGAATGCACTGTGTTTTCCCAGCCCTGTAGCTCAAGGTATGTCTGGCATTTTCCCAGCCTTCTCTCTACTTCAGTAGTACTCTGGGAAAAGAAGACACTTCACTCTTAGGGTGCAGAAGAAGAAAGTGGAGGCCGGGGTTCTGGGAGGAAGGGAGGCATTTGATTCCTCCTCCTAGTCCTTCAGCTGTGTACAGAATTCTCCCCTTTCCTTTTTTTTTTTTGCTGGCATAAATGTCATTTTCATTACACCATTCTCCTATTCCACACTATATTGAACAGATACTTAGAATTTGGGGCTGGATAAATCTAGCTCCAGGAGCTGTGATACTCTGTCCAAGTGCTCAGCAGCACCATAAATTGTGCCTTACACAAGTGGGGTTCAAAAAATTCTCAGAAAAATGGAATCGGTAGGAAGAAAGTGATAATTTTCTATGAGCTTTTTGAGGCCTAGTGGTATCTGATGTTGTTGTTGTTGTTAAGTGCCGTGGAGTCAGTTCCGACCCATAGTGACCCTGTACAGGGTTTCCAAGGCTGTAAATCTTTACGGGAGCAGAACACCTCATCTTTCTCCCACGGAGCAGTTGATAGTTTCGAACTGCTGGCCTGAAGGTCTGCAGCCCGATTCGTAACCACTACGCTACCAGAGTAAGAGTGGCCCTTTCTTGTTTCCCTTCCTTTTGTTAGGCATTGGGAATATAAAAAGGAATAGTATGTAGGCCCAGCCTTGGAACGGTTTATAACCAAGTGTGGGATGGGGAGACATAGGAACAGATAATTGCAGAATGGGGGTGTGCAAGTACTGAGTAGGGAGTGATGATTCCTAGAGCTGTGGAGGTTTCTTTGCGGAGGGAGGACAATCTCTCTAGTGTAGCATGACATTTCAGTTGGTTCTTGACTGATGAACAAGGGTGTGTCGGTTGGGGGAAAAAAGAAAAAATTGAACTAAGAAAAGAGGAGTGTGTTTTGTCGTGAAAGAGCAAGAGATGGTGAGAACATAGGAGGATAGAGTTCACACTGGGAGTGGTGAGAAATGAGGCTGGAGGAGTCAGGTGTGAGAGCTTGTAGGAGCTGTCTGACTTTTGAATTCATTGTTAGTACAGTACAGAAATGGTGAGGATTATGTTAGCTAAAGCTGGGTAGGTACGCTGTGTGAAGCTAGGTGGGTAAGCTGTGTGCAAGATGGCTTGGAATGAGGAAGAAAGAAGTTACAGAGAGACCAGCTGGGAGGCTGCTGAAACTGTGATGAGGGTTTCAACCAAAACAGTGGCCTTGCATTTCTTAATCAACCTGATTTTCTTCTTTAATTAAAAAAAAAAAAATCTAAGTTATTTTATATGCTGCTAAATTAATTTTTTCCTTCATGTTGTCAGGCAAGAAAACATGGCAGCAAGTTTTGCTCAGTCCATTCTTTAGTGACTTTCTGTGTGCTTTTTCAGTAGCTCTTCTCCTTCCATCCCAATGTGTTTGAATGCTCTAGTGTTCCGCTTACAGTCTAACAGTGCCCTGACTCTAACCCACATGGTTGTTCAGTTCTGAGAAGTAGTGTTCATACGTGTTATATTTGCTGTCATAAGGTTAGCACTTAAAAGTTGTTGTTGTTAAGTGCCATTGAGTCAGTTCCAACTCACAGCAACCTTGTATAGGGTTTCCAAGGAGTGACTGGTGGGTTTGAACAGCTGAGCTTGTGATTAGCAGTCCAGCGCTTATCCTACAGCGCCACACCAGGACCTGTAGTAATACCTTACAAATATGAGGGAGACCCAAAAAGTTTGTTGAAAAATAGAATGGAAAGACTATGGATTTTTTTCCATGAACTTTTTGAAGTTCCTTTAGTAGGTACACAATAAATGTTTCTTGAAAAATTTAGCATCAAGAATAGCAGACTAACCCAACATTTTGCATCTCCAGTATGCTGCAGTAAGAATACTTCATCCCTGAAGTATACTTGCCAGAAATGCTTAATGAAGCCTAATGAAGCTGTTAGATCTTTCAGTTTACAGGAGATATACAAGTAGGAGGGTTCCTGTGGTGTAGGTTGGCAGTTCAAACCCACCACCCAGTCCTTGGAAATCTACATAGGGTCACAGTGAATCCAAACTGACTTGAGGGCACTTAACAACAACAACAATGTAGGAGTAGGAGATGAGAAACAAGTTAAATAACACCACAAAGTGATAATCAGACTGATCTTTTGTTGTTGTTGTTTAAGTGACGTCATGTCAGTTCTGACCCATGGCAACCCTGTATTGGGTTTCCGAGGAGCAGCTGGGGAGCTGAACCAGCAGTCTTGTGTTTCAAACAACTTTGCAGTCCAGCGCATTGACCCACAGCACCACACCAGGACTCCAATCAGACAGATCTAGTAATACTTTTATTAAATGAATTTGCATTTTATTATTACACATTTCCCATCACCTGAAAAACAGCAATCCTTATACATGTGAGGTAGGGTTATTCAGTGGGCAGGCAGTACTTGCATATGTGTATCTGTGGACCCCTTGCAGTAGCTGCTGATCGTAGGAATTCAATAGTGACTGTAGTTTCTTTGATAGAATCATGTTGACATAGTTGGTATGGTTTCTTAATCTATATAGGAATTTAGCTCACAGGTTTGTCAGTCTGCCATCAGGTAGAAACACTGAATTCACTTAGTGAAATATAAGGATGAAGGATGGAAAATTGGTCATGCCTCAAGCACTTAGCTTACAGGAGTTTATGTGTTTTGCTGTAGAGGTGTTTGGAATGAGCTGGAAAATTGGTACTCTTTTTATACGATGCCAGCTCTTTGAGTAATTTAGTTTCTGGTTCTGCTATTCCTAAACTGGTCTTCCAGAAACACCCTAGGATTAAGTTGTTTCATCAAGGCGGTGTATTTACTGAGTGGTCATTGTTTCAACTCTAATTTATTATTGATCTTTCAGGCCTACAGCAGCAGAACTTTTAAAATGCAAATTCTTCCAGAAAGCCAAGGTAACATGCTTAAAAACCCAAGTAAATCTGCTATTTTGAAATCACTATGGATTTCTGTGTACGATATTTGATTTTAAATTGTTGGGATGTTTGTTTTGCAGAACAGAGAGTACCTGATTGAGAAGCTGCTTACAAGAACACCAGACATAGCCCAAAGAGCCAAAAAGGTAAGTGCCGCTAGCCCGCATGACCCTGTGGGAGCCGCTCCCCATCCCAGGAAATCAGACCCCATAGAAGAATAGTGAAAAGATTTCCACATGCTCAGGATATATTGCTTTCAGATGGTCTGATCAGATTAGTAAATTACTCAGATACCTGCATGTAGCCTTTTGGTGATCTCAGCTTGCTGTAAGATGTCTGGGTTGTGGAAACACTATGAAACTTAGATGATCTAATTTTTCTATTGATCAGTTTTACTTAAAGAAGGTCAGAGAGAAGGGGGAGCTCTAAGTGCTAGAGAGTTAAACTATCCTTTAATGTCTTCCTTTTCAAACACCACCGAAATGACCAAAAAAAAAACCAAAACAAAAAAAAAAACCCAAAAAACAAAACTCTGATTTTTGATTGTGGGATTGCTTCTTTATAAAAGACCTGTGGTCCATTTTGTGTTCGACCTTCTTTTAACTAAATTGTGTTAATGATTACCTGAAGAAACTTTCCACTCTCGGTCTTGGATTTTTAAATAGTGTGTATGTGTGAGTTAAAATGCTTAGATATAGAATATATCCAAAAGGGCTTTTTTTTTTTTCTTTTTTCTTTTTGGTCTATACTGTTTCTACTCAAAGTTTCACATCCCGCTGCTCTTCCAGGTATGAGGGGTTTTCTTGGCCTGGTTGCTCTCCAGAGCTTTAACTTTATGCCTCCAGCTCTTTGTTAAACGTTCTACCAGCATCTCAAGAGCTAGTGTATCCAAAATGGTTCATCTTCCCTCCCAAATCTAAACTGCTCCCATGTTCTTCCTCCAGTGAGTCACCCAGCTTCAAAGCCCTGGGGCCATAGTCCAGTCTCCTCCCACCCCCCCCTTACCCATGGAATCACTTTACAAGTCCTTTCAGCCTTGCCCTCTGCCATGTGCCTCAGCATGGCTGCCTTTTCGGTTTTTAATTAGACAATTGGAGTAGATCTGTAATTCTTCTCCCTCTGTTCCTCTTTCCTCTTCTTTCTTAGTGCTACAAGATCCACTTTCTGATCACATCACTCAGTTGTTCAAAAATAGTTTCCAAAGTTTTAGAAAGCAAAACCACCATCACCACCACCACAAGGGCAAACCAATGAAAAATTAAAATTGAATTAAAGAAAGAAAAAAAAGGTTTCTTCTAGTAACATAAAGGCCAAAACTCCTTAGCCATGAATTTGCAGAAGCATTTCACTTCTTGCCTGGTTTTCTACTTCTTGTATTCCAAACTCCAGCCAAAGCGACCTCCTGTTCCCAGTACCCCCAACCTATACTTTATTTTGGGACTTTGCCAATTAGAGGGAAAAAAATGATGAAGAAGGATCTGTTCAAGCTGTGCCTTTCGCAAAAAAAAAAAAAAAAAAAAAAAATAGCACATTTATCAGATATTAGAGTGCTCTGTATTCCAAACTTCATTGTGTCTGTATCTTAAAGAATAAGCAGCTGAGCTTTGTTGTTGTTAAGTGCCATCGAGTTGGTTCCGACCCATAGCAACCCTGTATAGAGTTTCCGAGGAGTAGTTGGTGAGCTTGAACTGCCGACCTTGCAGTTCAAACTGCTTTGCAGTCTGACACATTAACCCACAGCGCCACACCTGGTGTGATTTTTTAACCATGTCTTTTCTGCCATTTACTTATGCTTTGATTTTAGACTTAAACATTGGGCTTCTTTGATCATCCATCCCTTCAAATAGAAAATGGTCACATGTGTCAGAATGACACAGAGGGGCAAAGGGAGACAATAAATTGGTTCTGTAAACATCTTAGAGGAACGAGAGTGGCTCATTGGATTGTTACCCTGGCTGCTGTCTTAGATGCATTTTAACATGAAAACTATGACTGTTTTCCTGTCATAGTTTTCATGTTAAAATGCAGCTTGGTTATCAGTCACACTTTGCTCCTTGCCTATAGATTCTGGGATAAGTTTCCTGACCAGGACGGTATTTTCAAGTGCATTTCTCAGTCATAGTAAATGCCTCAAATGTTAGCTGACTACTGGATGGGCATGTTTGCTTAAGTGGACCAAGGAAAGGTCCTTTGAAACCTTGTTGTTTTCATTCCTTTGAACACCCCAAACCCTTAACGTATACTTCTTCTTAGCATTCTTGTTAAAAACAGGTGACGGGATAAGCCACCATATTCTTCATTCATTGAGACTTCTTATGGAGACTTAACTCTCAGAGTTGAGTGTTATTTGAATTGCCGTGTGCAATGAAATTTAAACCTTTGTTATAGGATGTCTTTGCTTGTCTTTGGTTCTTACAGTGCCTCACCTCAATGTTTTCTTTGAAAATGATATGGGGAAGTCTTTAGTGTTACCCATGCTTGGACTTGTTTTTATTCAAGTGTCTTCAGTGCTGCTATTTTCCTGCTTGCTTGGTACCTTTAAGCATGATCTTTCAGTCGTTTCTAGGGTGCAGATTTGTTCCCTAGAGGCCATTTGTGATATAAATAATAGAAACAGTGCATTGGTATACAACTGTTTGCTGTTGAGTCAGCATCAGCTCATGGAGTGTCACAGAAGAACTAGGCTCCATCAGGTTTCAAAGGCTGATTTCTTTTTAATAAGTCGATCACCAAGGCTTTCTTCTACGTTGTATCTGGGCACTTAAACTTCCAACCTTACAATTAGCAGCCAAGTGTGGTAACTGACTATGAGCTCTTTTTGTTGTGTGACTCCGAGCTACCCGATGTGATAGAATAGAATTGTCCCATGGGTTTTCTAGGCTGACACTTGGTGTGGCACTGTAGGATAAGCACTGGACTTCTAACTGAAAGGTCACTGGTTCAAACCTACCAGCCATTCCTTGGAAACCTTGTACTGGGCTTTTATGACTTGAAAGCGAGTTGGTGGTACTTACAAACAACAACGACAATCTCTACAGGAGCAGATTGTCTAGTCTTTCTCCTACAGAGTTGCTGGGTGACTTTGAATGGCCAACCTTTCAGATGGCACCCAAGTGCTTTACTGCTACACCACCAGGGCTCCCAGTTCATTGATATATACAGGTTTTGTTGGCAGGACTCTCGGTCCTTTTGGCAACCATGTTGATTTGAAATATATTGCCATAAACTTTGATTTTTATCTTCTCCTTCTGGATAGTGGTCAACATTAAAGAACTATTTTTTGTTATGCATTTTTTAACATGAATAGTTTGCATATGTGAAAAAGAGGGGGCCTGGTCATATAGTGGCTTTTAGAAGGTCTCCCCACCTCGGGGAGATAGATGCAGAGACTTATGGCTGGCTGCAATGTGGTGGATATGCATGTGGGTAGGTGGCATTATTTTCATCCAGATGGCTACTCTAAATCCGGAGAAGACGCATATGAGAGTTCAGTGTTGTTTGCCCTGTTAACTAAGTGATGTAAACTAGTGTTTCTTGCTCATTTTGTATGGCAATTGCAGCAGTTTATAAAGGTGTTTATTTTCTCCCTGTAGGCAGAGTACTTGACCCATTCTGGGTTCATTTCCAACCGTGTCATTTAGGGATCATTTTGATTTTCTTTCACCTCAATTTTTCTGTGTATGAAATGGACATTTCATCTGACCCCAGGCGTGTGGTGAAGGTTAATGAGAGATTTGAGGTTCCTGGATCACAAGACGTTCTGTAAATGCTAAATAAGAACATGCTGATCAGGACCCAGGAGAATTAGGGTTAAGTGCACTTGTATAACTTCTTCCCAACTTTTCGTTTGTCCCTATGGATGAGAAGAAAAAGTTGAATAGCCATTACTGCTTCTCAGGTGACTCTCCAGGGGCTTGTCTACAACCCTCATTTGGGGTTTAAAACTTTATCATGTGACATCCCATCATTGACCCTAACAGATTCACAGGATGGGGAAAAGTGTAAACAGTTCTGTTAAAATTTAATGCAGGTGCTTAGGGCTGGGCACATTTCTGTAGGAATATACAAACGTCAGAGATGGCTAGCATCTAAGCTCAGTGTCAGTGCTATGAACCTTGAGTTGCCAAAACGATGCGCATATTCGTATGCTTTCTGATATCCACCTATGGTGGGATGAAGGCTGGGGAGTTAGAAGCTATGTTTAAATGCTAAATGCTTAGCCAAAAAGCATATTGGCCAGGGAAGGCATGAATTAGGGAAATATGATACATGATTCTTCTTTTTTATTGTGATTGCCAATGTTTTCCTGGGGAATCGAATCGCTGGAGGATTCTTCTGAGTTCTCTTATTGATGACATTGAGAAGTTGGAAATGATTAGTCATTCTCAGAAGCAGGGGAAGGGCACTGTATCACTGCTGCATTTGGGTAGCGTCAGTGGGAACTGGAAAGACTGGGATGTTATCTGTGGGCCCCAGAATTTCTTATACTAGGCATAAGATTGATTTCAGATTGGCAACATCTGACCCTCCTGTGTGTTTAGGATTTAATGGGTAGGAATATGACAATTCACATTATTTATTGTTAACTTTTTGTGGATTGGGTGATGGTTTACAGAGCAGATAACTTTTCCGATAACTGTTTCATGTTCAGTTTGTTCATCTCATCGATTGCAATCCTCTCAGTGTAACATCACATATCCCACATCCTCCCTGTGTTTCCTATTTTCAGTCCTCTTTCCTAACCCTTCTGAACTGTCCTGGGGTAAATATTGCTGTTTTGATCTCAAGGCTGATTGTTCTAAAGTGCTACTGTTTCCCTTATAGACCTGAAGGGTTCCACCAGTCTCTGTCTGACCAGTAAGTCTAATGTTTTTATGATTTTGAGTTTTGTTCCACATTTTTCCCCAGTGCTATCCAAGACCTTCTAATGTGATCCCTTTCAGAACAGTTGGTAGTGGTAGCGGGCATCATCTAATTCTTCTGGTTTCAGGGTCAAGGAGACTGATGTTACCTGGTCCATTAGTCCATTGGATTAATTGTTCCCAAGCATCTTCGATTTTCATCATTCCTGTTTTCTCCTGACAGGGCGAGATTAGTAGTTGCACCAGATGGGTGCTCCTGAGTTTTAAGACCCCTGTTTGTACTC